CCACTTGCAATGACTACAACTCAAGTTCGAAATCGTCCACACACACAACTAAGTTCACCTCATCTCATGCACATGCATGTGTACAGCCGTTGCCATAAAGAATGAAAACTGGTTCTACCGCACAACACAAGTGTAGATGGCAACGTGTGGCAACAGGTCGAGCAATAGAAGATAAACTCGAATTTGTATCAACCAACACGGAGAGAATAATAGGAGACCTCTTGTTATAAAAACGAGCTTGGAAAGTAAACACTGGATGAACCAGTGCCGAGTGAACCCCTTGATGATACTCCTGAAAGAAAAATGGAGGGGTCGTTGACTTATTCGCAGAAGGTCCTTCTGTTACTCGTGTGAATCCTTTGTTTCCCGAATGCATCTCAGTGTCTAGACCTTCCACTGCAGCAACACTAACAGGACGTTGTTAACACCAAGGTCTCCACCTAGGAAATGGAGGTCACCAATCCGGAAAATGCCGACAACACCGATAAGTGTGACCAACTTCATCACATGCCCAACAACGAATGTCACAGCCACGACCATGTCCTCGCCCTTGTCCTTGGACTCGAGCAGCAGCAGCATCAACTTCCATTGGAACAGAACTATCGTCCACAGGAAGGGGAGCGAAAGGATGGGTGGAAGACATAACATTTTATAATGTTGTGTCAAGTGAAGAGCATCATCAAGGGTTGTTGGAGTAAGTGCAAGCACAACTCTAACAAGATTTTGACAGAGTGCTAGCCACAACATTCTTAGCTTGATCCGCTCCAACACATTTGGCTCCGCACGAAGTAAAAGACTTCGGAAACAAATGTTAAATTGCATCACCGATTTTGATGGCCTTTGGCAAAGATGATGCAATTGTTGAAAGGCATCATCACAATCGTTAGCATGTCTGAATGCACGTTTGAAGATGTTTGGGAGAACACTCCAATCCCCACCAGTGGCTACGCTCAAACCATTGTACCACTGCAACATTGTCCTTTGGAGAGACATGGGAAACTCACGCAAATGGCAAGCATCATCCCAAGAATGATATGTGGCAATCACCGTGAAGTGATTGAACCAATAGTACACATCATCCCCAAGATTCCGTGAAAAACTTCGGCTGAACACAAGGATTGGCATCAAGAGTAGGAAGAGTTGTACCACATGCCATGAATGTCGCCATCAATTGAGTTTGGGTGTTCAATTGCAAACACATAGCATCAAGCAATTGTACCAACTGTTGCTCCAGAATCAAAGGAGGAGATTGCTAATCTGCCATGAAGTTAAACGAAAAGGAAAGAGTGGAAGAAGAGGAATGACAAAAAGATAGAAGAAATGGAGATCTAAACAATGCAAAAAGCTAGATTTAAACCAAAATCCTGAAAAGAAAAAACAAAAGAAAGGAAATGGAAAAAACTAAATCTAAACGATGCAAAAGCTAGATCTAAACCAAAATCCCAAACATTCCTTAGAGACAATAAAAAATGCCTCCCATCTCCATTAATGTGAGTGTATGGAATATGGAAAGGGAATACAGAAAATATGCATATTCATTAGCTCAAAAAACCTTAGCTTATATATAGAAGTGAGTGGAAATCAATTCGACAGCTACCAAAATCCCACTATGCTAATATTAGTATACGGCATTGTAGTTGTACGCTTGGCCGTCATAATATGAATTTTTAATATTGTTGCCGACCTGAATAATTGTTGCATATGCACCTAATCACAAAGTTAATCACAAAGTGATTATATGACTTGCTTATTGTGTAAGAAATATATTTAAAATATACTTTGGTTTAATATAAATTTATTTAATATATTTTAATTATTAATTATAAATTGGTGTAGGAGAGGCATGGCAGTAAAAGTTTAACATATATGTGAGTTTGCAAATGTCAAATCCAGCAAGCAAAGGAAACTAATTTGTGAGTTCCCCTTATGCACCACAAATCAATCTTGAGATATAATATATCACATGTAAATTGTTCATCTAAAAGTGAATGATTGGAGACATTAAAATTAATAACCCCCAACCTATTCTCAAACTTGAAATAGGTAAGGCATAAAGATTGCTCCAATGAACCCTAGCTATGCAATTGAAGCTCCAAGAATGGATGCAAAATGAACCAAAAACTCCCAAAATGTGTACTAACTCATATCTCACAAGATTAAAATAATAAAATAGTGGTCATAGAGGTCAAAATTCTCTAAAGAGTGTGTAACAACTCATTATCAAATCAATTTGCCATAAAAATGAATGGTGCTCAAGTGTGCTACCTATGCTAGTCATTATTGTAGTGATTGCGAGGCATCAATGAGTAAAGGAGCATGGAGGTAGTGGTGTAGCACAAGCGTAAGTGAAATGCCTTTAATGCAAATCTTGCTAGTAAAATTTACTTAACTTATTACAAATCTTGGTAATAATTCAAATGAGAAGTTTGAAGACTTAGTTTATAAACTATCTATATTTGCTGATAAATAGCCTCCAATTCAAGCATGATGCAAGAGAAATTGTAAGCAAGATGTAATCATTAAGTTAGAATAACCCATAATAACTTTTTTATTAAAATATAAATATTCTAAAATTTTATTTTACATATTTTATAGTAAATAATTATTATTAAAATTTTAATTTTAATAATAATATAATTATTTACTATAAAATATGTAAAATAAAATTTTAGAATAATTATATTTTAATAAAAAAGTTATTATGGGTTATTCTAACTTAATGATTTGTGTGTATGTATGTAAGTAATTCTAGTTTATTTTATATTTGTAGTGTAATGCAAAAATCATCTGTTATATTTTAACAACTGAGGTTAAAATTCCAGG